CCGAGGTGATGAGTCTTCAATTAGTTTGTCTTATTTTATTTTATTTTTTAGTTAATTATACCTTAATTTTACTAGGTTTGCACTGGAATTTTGTTTAATGGCCTGGCTTCTTTCTGTTTGACGTTCTGCATGTTTCAGAAAGTTGGTTGATTGCACAATTTGCACTCATCGTGATGGATAATTAAGTTTCCATATGGGTTTTGGATTCAATGTAACGTTGTTCATTCAGATTTGGACATAGCCTCATTGGATTTAGCTTTGGTAATCATGCATTTATTGTTTTTGGCAAATCGATGTTCATTACCTAGTGCTACTCCCAAGATTTGATGTGTATAGACTATGTGCTTCGTATTTCTCCTTCATTACTGATTCGTTCACCCTTAGTCAATGGTATGCTTCCACATTTAAGCACAACTGAGCAATTTAATGTTGGTACTTTTAGTTTGAACATTTGTATACTAAACTCTGCTTGTTCATCATCAAATTCCTGTCTTTGAAGATGATTTGATGAGGATTGTGGTTATGGTTTTTATCGAGAACAAATTAATTTGTTATCCTCAGTTACAACTATGATTTCAGATGTCGAGGACTACCCTTTGTTATGTAGTCCCTCATTGTTTATGTTGTTAAGCAGGGTGGTCTGGAAGTTATATTCTACGTGACAATCATCATCAAACTGATAATATATAACATTATCATGGAAATCCCTTGTTTGGTATGTTTACATGGTCAGTATTCCTCTATTTAATACAATATGTAGATCTAAGTATTAACAATTCGTTTGGGAATGTTTCTTTCTCATTATTAGTTTGCATTGATGGAAGTGATGAATAACACTTCTATATCTGATTTTAAACTGCTTGTACATCTGCACAAACGTTAAAAGACAATATGTGAATCTGCATGCTTTTCTGTTATCATGTCGGCTTCTGTCGCATTGTATACATCGAAGTGTTTTCCCTACCTTTTAAGCGCACTGGCTGGTTGTTATGACTGAAGATGGATATACTGTCATGTCATGATTTGTTGTCTTCAAGAGATAACAGCACTGAATGATAGTATCAATTGTCACAGCTAATACATACAAGTTTTTGGATTCCTATACATCAAGGGCTAAAACCCATTTTACTGTTCTCAGCTTTCCCTTCTTGTCGGGAATAATGGCAAGGCCGTGCTGTTTTGATGGTCTTTGACTTTACTTTTCACCTCTCAACCTATTTTCCTCTTTGATGTTGTTAATTCCGTTATTCACTCCAATTATGGTAGTTTTTTAAAGTTAAAGATCAAATAACATCCAAAAAAAAAAAAAAAAAAGGAAAGGCCACCACCAGGACCCCCTTTTTGATCCAATTTTGCCTCCTCTTGCGTTGTGTTGGGGGTTTTCGGTCCCAAGTGACAAAAATTCAAAAGTGGAGGGCTTAACTTGAAAACCCCAGGGGATTCATTTAAACATTAGGAGTTGCAGTGACTAGAATTAATGAATCAGAAATTCAGAGACCAGATCAAAAAGAGACAAAAAGCTAAAGACCAAATCTGCAAATTGAGATTCTCGGTTCATCTTTTTTTTTTTTGTAACAGTTACGTGATTCTCCCTCAATAGTTTTAAGCTAATTTGTGGTATTGACTTTTTTGTATGATTTCCTTAGTTGTTGCTTGCGGCTGATTCACGTAAAGTTGCAAAGATTTCTTACATGAGATTGGGGTTTTGTTCTTTGAGGTGTGGTGCGAATTGTTTTAAGTGGGGTTGCTTTGTGGCCTTGTACGAATTATGTTTCCAAAGAAGTGTGTGTGTGTACAAGAAAGTCCACAAAAAACAATTAACATAATTGAAGATAACATTCTGGGAAAGATTCAGTTAAGAATATACAAGGTGAGTTTGTAATCTCACTAGGTTGTACAGAGAAAAGAAAAGAAAGAAGGCAAACAAGACAGCATTAAGCATAAAAATTCTCCTAGTTACTAACAAAAACACTCAAAGCACATATATATGCACGACTAAATGGCAATCCATCCATTGTACTTCTGGATCACAGCATGAGCTATGTTGGCCTGGTGGACCGTTTGGTCGGTCTAGGAGTGGTTGACTTTGATGAATGTTTACCCTTCAAAGAGTCCTAAGAGCATTTGAAGGCGTATCACCCAGAAGTATTGTTTTCGAAGAATGCATGCATGAAGAGTACTTCCATAGATATTTCTGATGTCTGAAATAGCCCAAAAGGTAAGCCTTGCATAATAAACAAAAAGCAAATAAACATGCAGGCAAAAATCAAGATTGAGTTATAAATAGTCGACGGCGATATGATTCCAAAGGAAGTCGAGTAGCTGCTCCACAAAGAGGCCAAACCTATATGCAGCAAGAAGCTATAAGGTTCCCAAGGAAGGGCCATCATAAGCACCAGGATTGAGAGCGTGAAAACTATTGTATTACTCAAAGTAAAGGCAAGCAAGCTCTCCCCCTTCATGATGACTTTTCCAGCAGTGCTATTCGAAGATTGGTTTTGCATAAGAGCAACAGCGGAGATGGTATTCACCGTTGGATTGGGAAAACTGCCATTAGGTAAGGTGATGGAATAATTGGGTGGATTGGTGTCGACTTGAGCTTGCCAAACTCCTCCTGGCGGACTGAGTACGCCTTGGTAGGTTGCCGTGGTAATCAACACAGCCACTATCAGTACGATATTTCGCTTATCCATTGTAAAATCTTTTTGCCAATAAAGAAGATATTTTAGTGCAGTCTCATAAAATCGCTCTTTTGAACCCAAGAAATCGCAAGACTATAGGTCTTCGAGAGAGAGGAAGATCTGGAAGCTTTTGCATGGAGTAAAATTTTCCGAACCTCCTCATTGTTAACATAATTTTGAAGTCTCACAGCCATGTTTAGGGGAGTTAATCCTCCAAGTTCTTGAGGTTGGTTCTAACTTTCTGTTCTGTTAGTATTTTCACAACCTGCATTAATTATATATGCAAAAAACAAAAAGTTATTAAGTTTTCCATCAATCCTTTAATCTAATTTTGATCAATTTGATCTCTTAACTTTCTTCTTTAGAACAATTGTGATCCCTGCTTTAAGTTGGGCGACTATGGTCCCTAAACCTTAAATTAATACTAATTAAATCTAATTAGGTATGTAAACGGTCAGATTTGGATCAAATTAGAATGATCCGAATCCGAATCTGATTATCGATATATATATATATCCAAATCCGACCCGAAATCCTATATGATTTCTACTTGTTATTATCGAATCCGAATCTAATAAAAATCCGAAATCCGAATAAAAAATCCAATCCGAATGACTGTTAATAATAATTAAAATCAAATAACCAATAAGTAAAAGATATGTAAAATCAAATAAATTATTATTTATGAATGATAAAAATTCATGTAAAATTTATATTAATTATTTTTCTTTTATTAAAATATAAATAAATTTCAAAAATAAATTGTTATTTATGAATGATTAAGATGAATTTTTGTTATATAATATATTACAAAAGTGATGATAGGATTCCAATACTTTATAAAATTATCAAGTTTTATTTGTATTATAGTTAGAATTTAGAAAATTTTATAATAAATTTATTCAAGTATTTCATGAAATTTCAAAATTAATTAATTATTAAATATAAATCTACTAGAAAAACTAAAATTAGGGAAAGTAGAAGAATATTATATAGAATTGTTTAGAAAAAATATACATTATTCTATTAGATAAAATGTCTCACAAATATAAATTAGTGCATTATTAATTATAATGTCATATATATTACATTATATATGAAAGTATTTATTAATATATATAATTATTGATTAAATAAAAATTATTATTAAAATATTCATATTTGGATTTTTAACGAATCGGATTGCTTAATTCCATATTCGGTTCACTTATTTCAGATTACGGATATTTATAATCGGATTTAATTCATCGAATATTTTAATTAGTTAAACAGTCTAAAATTCGGATCGGATTCAGATCGAATTCGAATTAAAATCCAACTCATTGACAGCCTTAAATGTAATACCCTCCTCTAATTTTGGGAGAATTGTTTTGAGAAAAGATCAATTTAAAATTTAAGATCTAACTTATTATGTTATATATATTGTGTTACATTTATATAATATTATTTTATAAAAATAAAATAATATTAGTATCATCCTATGATATTAAAGTATAGGTAAAAAATACTGTCTCCTTTATCTTTCTTTTATATCTTATTCTCTCTTTTAAACTATTCCTTGTACCAATTCCTCCCTTAAAATTAACATCATTAAGCTAGTTGTTATATTATCTCCTAAACTTTCAAATTAATTTTTTTAATAGTTGATCATTTTAGTATAGTTAATTAGTTTTATAATTGGCAATAATAAATATTATTATTTAATTAATAGTTAATTATTTTTGTTTAGTTAGGTTGCGAAAACAATCTAAACTAATTTTATAAATTTTAGCTATATTTTAATTTAATATATAAAATTAAATACATTTAATAATATTTATTATCAATTATAAAAAATAATTAACTAAATAAAATATTTAATTATTCTAAAATGATTAACTATTAAAATAATTAACTTGAAAGTTTAGGAAATAAATATAACAACTAACTTAACAATATTAATTTGAAAAGAAATAAATGGTACAATAAATTTAAAAGAATAAATAAGATAGAAAAAATAATTCAAGGAGATAAAACAATTTTTATCTTTGAAGTATTCTACGAATTCAAAACATAAAAACAAAAGTCGTGTGATTAATGTACCGACTCCGTCTATCGCATGAAGTGTCCATTTGAATGTAAACAGGTGAAGTCACCGTTTAGGCAAATCTCACTGGGGCAAGCGAAATTCATCCATATTAATATTGGCTAGCTATATACCACTTCTTGCAGGTTATTTATTGATCAATTAAGCCCAAATAATATAAAGGCCATCAAGAGAGTTACAAAGAAAAACCCGCAAATTCGAGGAGCGTTCCTACCCACTTCAAGTATAGAGAACTAGTAACCAAGAGAGAACCAACACACCTGGGTTTGGTCAGTGGCCACTGCTATATGCAAGGCAGTGTTTCCATCCTCGTCCCTCCAGTTTAGCACTTCTCTTCTGAGGGTCTTCAAGAGCCAGCCAAGCAAAACTTTGAAAGCTCTAAGCCTGAAGTTCTTCACCGCAATATGCAGAGCAGTCTCATTTCGAATGTTCAAGTCCTCGATCGAAGCAGGGCAAGCGTACAAAAACTCAGCCAAAAGATCGATGTTGTCTGTTTCGGCTACGTAATGCAAAGGAGTGATCCTCTCCTTCCCTTGACTCGGATAAGCTCAATATCAAACTTCACAAGCTGCCTCGCGGTTTCAAAGTGCCCAATTTGCAGGGCTAGGTCCAAGGGCGATAGGCCATCCGCGTTTAGTTTCTTCCCGAACGCTGGTTTCAAGCTGATAATTTCGATTGCAAAATGGGTTTTTCCAGCAGATGCAGCTAAGTGTAATGAGTATCAACAAAAGGAATATCATCTATTTGTTGGAGAATATAAGGGTTCTGCTTTATTGAGGCATACAGGGCATTCAAATCCCCTGCCTTAGCAGCCTCCTTCAACCTCTGATCCATTAATTCGCCACAGACCCCGCCTAAGAAACATGCACTTTGAAGATGATCTTTCATTTTGCCGATACCCAGACGGCCTGTGAATCTCAAGCTTGTAGGTCAATACTCACAGATTTAAATAACATATAAAACACCCCAATAGACTGGACTAATTCTTTGATTCTGCTTCATTAATATCTTTGTTAATTCTGCACAGGTTTATCTACAAGTACTACTGGTGAAGTTGTTACCATATTTTTTAATTAGTTCTTTCCTTCTTCAAATATTGGGGAGGAAAGTGGGTTGAGTTTTCTATTAACAATTATCAATTCTGAAATATTTTTCCAAATATAAATAGCTGAACTGTGGTCCATAAGCTAGCCGGATAACACCTAATAACGTCATCAGGGATGTTATCATTAAATTGTGTGTTAACTTCAGCAGTTCCTCCAGTTAGGTTGATAGTAAATAGTTTAGGCCTATTAATTTTAGGAATTCTGCGATGGATTAAAAATGCCTGACATTAAAAAATGGCTAGGTTCCCCCTCCTCTTCAACCAAAGTGTGGAACACCCCATTGAGTACTGCTATTCTGTCCAAATGAAGAAGCAGTTTCTCCAAGAAAGCATGGCTTATGGAACAAATCAGAAACGATTCTGTTTATGTTTATATAGACATAACACTGCAAAGAAATAAGCATATTTTGTGCTAAATGGGTAGCAAGGCCATTGCTATCATATACATAATGTCAATTTCATACCCAAGAGTTGTGACTTATTGAATATAATACAGATTTCGCCCTTATCATACACCCTTCTTGTTGCATCAATGACATGATTTTTAATATGAACCAACCGTTTACTTTGTAAGTCATAAGTTTAGATATCAAAGTTATAACCAATCTTGCATATGGGTACCAGTGGGATGGATTTTTGATACTTCTCTAGGACATGGGTTGCAGGGAACTACTGGTTTCAAGCAAAGAAGCGCTTGAACTCTAGGGATTTTGTACAACCAGGGTGTATCGTGGTTGCTGATGTTTGAGTCTATTCCCCCTCCTTTGAATTAAAAAACAAAGAAAATGTCAGAGAGCTTTACTTGGATTTGCAACACAATGGACATTGAATCAGTCAATTGTTGCCTTACCGTAGTCGATAAGAGTTAAAAGTTGCAGTTTCGATTTTTATAATGAAAATGGAGAGGCTCTCCGCCAACTAGCTCGCCGACTTTCATTATATATATTTCCCGTCACCCTCTATCCATTTTGAGTGATGGTGTTCTCTATTTATTATATATACACGCAAAATAGAAATCAGATATTTATTCAACTCTATCAAACTATTCCAAACTTAATAAGCTCTTCTGTACCAAAAGAGGCATTTCTACAAGCATCATTCCAGAGTGCGAGCCCAAAATAACCCACCAGAAAAAGCTCCTAGAGAACAATCCTAAGCCCCGCAGAACAAAGACCCTTCCATCTAACATAATAGGTGCTCCAGCAAACGAGATGATCTATGAAAAAGTCGACTTAAACTGAAGACAACAACAGCCCATCCCTAAGAAAAGCATTACACAGACCTCCACCTCGATAAAAAGAACCCACAAGTTTGAAATTCTAGTATCACAAGCCCGATAAATGAGATGTCACCGGAACAGATTCCTCATACTCGAATAATTCTATTAGGTTCAGTTAGGCCTTACAATTTGTTGTCTTCTCCTCACATTCTTCAATAATCCTACACTCGGTTTCAGATACAAGATGAAAGAAAATTTTAAAGACTTGTATTCTTGTCTGGTTTGATTTTAAAAAGTAAATGACATGGTAAAATTTAAGATTAATTATAACAGTCTATTCTTCACTGCCAAACTTCGTTATTGATGAGTTGCGAAGTTCATGCATGCTTATGTTTAGTTTGGTTTAATTCTTAAATTTAAACTTAACTATATTTTATAATTTTTAATTTTTAAAAATAAAACTAAATTATAGATTATGGTTTGGTTAGATTTCAAACTAGGATTTTATAATTTTAAATATAAACTTAATTAAATTGACTATGTTTAAAAAATTCTGATAGAATATTTTTAAAGATTAAACATTTTAAACTTTTTTTAAACTTATTTAATTCAACAAATTCATTATCTATTAGCTAATTACATTAATAACACATTATACAACAAATATATTTATACGATATAATAAAATTTGAATCATACTAATAAAAAGTACTCTCCATAAAAGAAAAATAATCAACTATTAGAAAAAGTATAAATATAAAAGATAAGAAAAAGAAAAAATATACAGTTAACTAGTAAAAATAAACTATATATATATAAGATTTTTTAATTTACGTATATATAAATTACATGATTTAGTTCAGTTGATATAATTTGTTTAAATATTAAATATCAAATAAAATTATATCCCTTTCCAAACTAATCTAAACTAAGGTTTCAGTAGTCTAAACTGATTAATTGAATTTCTTGAACATTCTTATTGACGAGGTATTTAATTGAATAAGATAAAATTTTCTTTTTTCTTTTTCAGTTCAACCAATAAATCGGCACGATCCAAATCTAATAGTTAAACACTTTGCTCTCCCTAGTTAATTCCTCCACTTACTCGGACGTAGTGAGCACTCATTGCTTATGTTCCAGCATGATAAAGATGGAAGAAAGACTTGCTGGAATCACAGGTCAATAAAAGCAATACCATAAATGAATAAATAGAGACGAAGAGAAGACAAAAAATGAAGACGAAAACAGAATGAACAGAATGCCATTTTAAATAACGACATGAGCTGCTGGGGGCTATCAATCTGTTTTTGTATCACCCAAAACCATCTTTCAAAAAAAAAAAAGAAAAGAAAAGAAGAAAAAAAATTATTAAAACCACTTGGGTTGAGTTTTAAATTTATTTAGAGGGAATTTTGAAGAATTAGGATGGAAGAAAGTGTTTTGAAGAAATGAAGTTTTTATAAAAAAATAAATAAATAAATATAATTTGCTTATGGTTACTGTAGCAGCGCGCCGTAGCGCCCAGGCGCGCTACAGCGCGGTGCTCTCTGGAATTTCCGTGCTACAGTGTACCCAGGTGCTACAGCGCGGCAAGCGCTATGCAGGTCGCGTTTTTACCCCTTTTCATGAAAATTTGGATTTTTAACCCCTCCAAGTACCCCTAAACTCTCTTAAACTTCTAAAAATCATAAAATAAAGATTTAAGAAATATTCTAGGGTACTCAAAATTCATCCAAAAATTCATTAGGATTAAAATTGAGGATAATTTATGGAAGGGCATTTTGGTCTTTTGACTTATGAGAGATGGTTTTAAAAGTTGGGGGAAAGCATTCTAGGGCTCATTTTCGCCCAAATAGAGAAGGGAATAGAGGAAGGAGAGAGAGGAGAAAAGGAGGAAAAAGGTATGTATTTTGGCCCAATCTCAAGCCCCCTTTGGTTTTTCTTCAATATTTCTACATGTTTAGCTTTTTCTCTCCGTTTTAAAAGCTTTTAATCAGTGTAGATTTTGTATTTGGATGTTATTATGTGTTGTAGAGAGAGAAAGTGGGTTTACCCTCACCCATGGGATATTTTACTTGAATTTTGATATTTCTTGTTAGAGTACCTTTAAATATTGTTTTATTTGAGGATATCAATATTTTTATGGTTGGATTAAACTTGAATGAGGTGATTATAGTTGAAATGTGAGATAAATGGGTGAAATGATGTTGAAATGGAATAAGGGCATGTTTGGTTGGAGTTGAAATGGGAAAAAACGGGATAAAGACATGTTTGGATGGAACCCAAAGGTTAAAGAGAGGTTAAAGGCATGTTTGGATGGAACCCAAAGGTTAGATAGAGATTAAGGGCATGTTTGATGAAGCTCAAAAGTTAGAAAGAGAGAAAAAGTTGTATTTATATGTTGTAGGATATAATTATTGCTTTCGTATGATAGATTTAGGGTATGTCTCTCATGTTGTGTATTCCCCTTGTAGGAGAAGATACTCTAATTACTTCAGACCCTAGACCTACAGCTCTAGAAGCACCCTTATAAACTTATTTTTACAAGGTAAGTGAGAATCTTCATAATCTTAGTGTATTTCTGCAAACTATGATTTCTAATGAACAATACTCATTTCAAACCCAAATGTATGTTGGTACTGAGAACATAGGAAACAATCCAGTCATGTTATGATTTTGAGTATATACTTAATTTTATGGTTTTCATGCGTTTATGTTATTTTGGTGCCTTAGCACCCAAACATGATGTCAGGCAGCTATCTGGGGTAGGTGGCGATTCTACTTGCATTACATAACATATGTAGGTTTATTCTCCCTAGTGAAAAGGGATCATGCACCAAAAACTGTGTTAGTTTGGCTGGGGAGTGGCGACCCCTAGCGCGAGCTACACAGTGTAGTAGCGCCCGACTTATTTATGTTTTACCTAATGAGGGTCCATGTTATGTTTTATGATTTTACTGCCCCCAGATATCTTCGGTTGTGCCATCTGACCAGAGTATATATATATGTGAATATGAATTATGATTTCTATGATTTTTCTATAATACCCATGAAAACTTTTATGATTCATGCTTATGCCCTCTTATGTTTTATGACTTGCAAAAATAACAAATTAGCTTTTGCATTGTTGAAAATCCAATTATTATGCCTCATGATATGAAACTCTTCAAGAATGTTATTTTGTTTCAATTGATACAAAAACTAATATTTGCACTGGATATAGTTTGATTACCATTCACTAGGACTTTAGTCTCACCACTATTTTTTTCCCCCCTGCAGATTTGAGTTATTGAGTTAGAACTTTGGTGTTTGTATTATTTGCGTTTTGCACACTTTATAGCACCAGGTCGGCCAAGCTATTGGAGACTTAATTGGTTTTTGTTTTATGGATATGAGCTATATATGTTGGGAGATTAATTTATATTTTAGATAACTGTAACAAGTTGAATTGCTTTGAGCCCTTATGGATGATTATAGTTAATTTAGTATAAATTGGTAGTTTGAGCATAGCATGATGTTAGATGGTTATTGAAAATTGATACAAGATGATTTATGCTTAAGCTA